AGAAAAATGACCAATGAACTCACTCACTCACTCACGTAAGTTTGCTTATTTATTTATTTTGCATGCATGATTATTCGACTTATTATTTAACTAGTTTTGAAGATTACTCAAACCATTATTGTATATACTGTTGTTGACTTGGTCTTCGACTAGTTCTGAGATTTCGAATATTATGGTTGAATCAAGAGACTCAGGACTTCAGTTTCTTTTTTTCCTTTTTTTTTTTGAAATGCTAATGCAATTATTAGGTCGATTTTATGACTAAGTGTCTTGAACCCATTTTTAAATTAGAATTTTTTAAACCAAAATATTAATAATCATATACAAATTATACTATCGCATAGCCAATATTAAAATCTACTTGCTATGTAAAAATCAGTTTAAAATATCATAAAATAAAATTATATGAGATCGTAAAAGTTGATGGTGTAAAACTCTAAAGAGTTAGCTCAAGTGAGTAAAAACTTGACTCTGGTGTCTAAGGAAGTTTCAAGTTTAAAGTTTGAATCGTCTTGGTGCAAACAATTCATTGATGGGGTGTGTGTGAATTGATAGTGTAATTTAGTCCAATAAAGTCAAGAGAAATAATATATAAAAATTTGACTAATTCATGTGATTTACTGTAAAATGAATTTTAGAATGAAATTTTTATTGTGGTATAATTCTCACATAATTTTCTTTTAAACGGTTAAATGCGCGTCTTAATATTTATATCACGAGAATGTCACGAAGTAGATGCGTAGCAAGTACATTCATTCTACCAACTCTCACTTTATTGGTGAGCCTTAGCACATTGGCATTCTTCCGAATTGTTGCAAAATACGGTATTTTGGACTTATTTTGTTAAATGATATTACTATTATTATTATTATTTTCATATTATTATTAAATGATATTACCATTATTGAGTAATCTCACACTAAAGGGTTTGTTGACACAATATTATTAATCATATAAATAAAGGACCTGTTTTGTACAGTATTACCATTCATCACAACACATTAACGAAGGTATAATTTATCTGGTGACGTAGGAATAACATGTCTTTGTCCTGTTGAAAAAGATTTTATATATATCGAAAGTTGAATTTAGCTTGTGTAATTGCACAAAGCGTTAATTGACATGTGTCTTTGTTTTATGCATGATGTCCTCGTTCCAATAGACGTGAATACTATTCCCATGATGCCTGTTTTGAGAGACAAGAATTCTATATTTATAACTTTTTCGGCAATACATAACTAACAATTTAGTTCGTGGCGTGGAGGTTTAACTTAAATAAAAAAAAATAATAAAAAAAACACCCTTACTTCGTGGAGGTATAGTTAGATCTCAATCAGTGACTGAGCCAAGATTTCAAGTGAGAGGTACACTGCAAAAATAATAATAATAATAATACGAAATATATATATATATATATATATATATATATATAATAACTATAAAATTTAAAAAGACAAAAAAGAAGAAAATTATTAAAATATAAAAGGAAAATAAAAATGAAAAAACTTTAATAGGAAATAGTTAAAAAGTTTCAAATGAAGAAAAAAAAATTTGACTTTTTCTATTAAGGAAATTTAAGAAATGTGAAGAGTAAAAGAGAAAATAAAGAAAAAATAAGAATATAATTTTAGGAATTACAAATTTGAGGGGGGCATTATATAAATTTTGTCATATATATGGAATTTTTTTAAAAAATTACCACATATATTATAGGTTGCTGGCCAATTCAGGGGGGGCACGTGCCCCCCTAGGCCTTCATTAGCTCCGTCCCTAATCTCAACCCAACATGTAAACTCAATCATAATCCAACTTTTAACCCTAATTATTCAATCTGAATCCAACCAATTTTTAATTTTAAAATCCATGTTTGCAACTTAAACTAAAATTTTGAATTAGAGAGTTATCAATTTTCTTTACTTTTATTTTTCTTAATATTAAATGTTCAACGTAGAGATTGGTCATATATATATAATGATATTAAGAAAAATAACAGTAAAGAAAATTGATAACGGTGTGACATGATAGATTTAATGGATGTAATAATTTATATTTTAATTTTTTAAGGTAACGATGAGATTTGAAGTCAGGACCTTAAATGCTCTGATACCATGCTAAACGTTGTTAACTCTAAACATGAAAACGACTTTTCAAAAATATTTTAAAATGTGTTTTAAAATTAACTTTAAACATTACATTACAAAACATATATGTAAAGGACATGAATTAACAATTTCAGGGTAGGAAAGTTTAGGGTTAATTTCACCGACACCCTCCTGGTTTGGTCAAATATCACTCTCAAATATTTTTTGAAAGTAACTATCATTCACATTACCAAATTTTGTTGCGTTTTTCATTCACAATCCAATGTTAGTTGCATAGTTACGACATATTATAAAAAAACTTAACAACCCTTTGACTTTGTCAAAACAATTCTTTAGCCTAAAAAATATAAAAAGACTAAAATATCCATAAAATTATATATATATATATATATACCCATTTTGTTTGAACCCATAATAAATTTATACTATATATATATATGATGTATACACATAATTAATTTTAGATATGGACATAGACATAATTAGATTTAGAATATCCATTTTGTTTAAACCCATTTTGATTCATACTATATACCGTCACACTTACTATTTTAATTTGGATTTGCTCAAGTATATACTTATTTTAATTTGGATTCTCATGTATATACTCCGTATTAATTTGATAATTTATTTTAAATTTGTGCTTAATTATTTTTAATTGTTATTATAACACTCCCAAATCAAATTATACCAAAATGGGCTCAATCTCATCCCCGGTGACAATATATATGTCTTACAGCCCTCTCTATATAATTATATTGTTTATTTATAATTAATTTTTGCATTAGTGAAAGAAGTGTTAATGGAGTTTGAGATCAAGAGGAAGAGGGCGCTTTACTACTGTCAGACCCCATTCCCACACCCCAAGGGCATAGATTAGGTTTTGATTGAGGTGTGTTAATTCAGATTGATTCCGCGTTCCAGTTGATAGGGCAAATATTCCACTAGTCAGGTTGTATAGGTAATTCAACAAATCAAAGATATGAAACCCACTTAAAAGCAACAGATATGTAAGAGGCTTTCCAACCCCTCTTCAGCTGCCCATCCCTCTAATATCCACCCTCACCGCCAATTTATTAGTTCAGCAAAAAAGACCAAAGCTATCGCTGTAGTGCTCAACCCACAGATCTCGCCTTCACCATCATCACCTCTTGTAGACATTAAAATTTTAGTGGGCTTTAATTTTGACAAATGGACTCATTAAATATGGGTCTAATGTTTAATTAAGTTATTTAATTGGACCAAACCTGGTTCACTTAAATTATTTAATTAGCCCAACCCAAATGATTAAATGGAAAGATAATTATTCCTAATAAAATATATTTGGAATAATTATTTTTAAGGATAATTATCATAATATAACCGGCCCGACCCAGTTATAATATGTTCCTTATCAGAAAGGACACGTGTCATCATCCTATGGATCCAAGAAGTCTATAAATAAAGGCCTGGAGGAAGGGAGAAGGATGACAGAAATCCAGAGTTCAGAAATCTAGAAATTCAAGGGACACAAATTCAGTGTTTAGAAATCTAGAGACTCAGAAATCCAGAAGGTCCTGAGGGCAAACCTGAAAGTGAAGAACACCAAGCACATCCAAAGTCGTGCCATTCTTCACCAAATTCAACAAATCCTCTCTGAAGACGAAAAACAAAAAACACATCTAAAGACGTGCCGTTCTTCCTCAAATTCAACAAAGGACACAAATTCAGAAGTCCAAAAATTCAGGCACAAAGTCAGAATTCAGAAGTCCAGAAATTCAGACACAAATTCAGAATTCAGAAGTCCAGAAATCCAGAGACTCAGAAGACACAAATTCAGAATCCAAACCCAAAAGCGAAAAACATCAAGCACTTCCAACGACATGTCGTTCTTCATCAAATTCCATGGTGATCAGCAATAAGCACATCCAACGACGTGCCGTTCTTCATCAAATTCCACAGTGATTCAAGAATAAACTCGTGCAGCCCTTGGATCCAACTAACTAAAGGAGATCGCATCAGAGGACTGTCTTATTTGTAAAGAATATTATTACAGAGGATTGTACTCAAATTTTTCAAATTAATAAATTACTATTTGCTCCATATTTTGTTTTATTTGCATACTTACAAAATTTGTGTGTACAAATTTTTGGCACGCCCGGTGGGACATCCTCTGCCTCTCATCTCTTTCTCCTACATCAAACCCTCAACAAATTCATCGTCAGATTCTATGACTTCCAATAAGATTCAGACAAATAGCAAAAATACCCCAAAGACATCGCGGTTATTACAAACAACATCAATACCATCACAAAAGGTGGCAAAAAGGTTGCAACTTCGTCAAGTGGTACAAACACCTCTGCAAGTTCAATGATGTGGAGCATAGTCAAATCATCCATTCCTGCCAAAAAACAACACGATGCAATGAGTGTTAATTCTGCCAAATCTGTCAAAGTAACAATTCAAACTCATACCGTCTTCACCTCGCTGGGGGCAAGAAGGAAGGTTTCTACAACCTCAAAGGTTGCTCCAATCACAGGTTCAAGTTCCACCTCACTAGCGGCAAGGAAGAAGGTTCCTACAACCTTAAAGGTTGATCCAGTCACAAGTTCAAGTTCCACCCCGCTAGGGGTAAGGAGGAAGGTTCTTATAACCTCAAAGGTTACTCCAGTCACAAGTTCGAGTACAAGGATGGTCCACCCAAGGTCAAAGATTTTTTCTGACTCCATCACTGTGCCAGTCATGATGACGAGTACTACCTCGTACGAAGAGCAATTGAGGACTATAGCCTGTGCAATTGAAAGATTACAACACTCTCTCAAGGAGTAAGATCTGAAAATTGCCTCACTGATAGAAAAGTTAAAATTGTGTGACGACAATGCTGAGTCAAGCAAAGGCCGAATTCCTCATTCTAATTCCATGCCGGAGGACACTCCAATTGATGATCAAAATGGCGTGTCTGCCAATCCAACAATTGATGTTGCCTCTGTTACCTCACTTTCTGTCCAACAACTTCAAGACATGAAAGTGAATCGCATAAGAGAACAATAAATTGGCGTTTCTCAAAGTGCTCGTATGTACTCAAAGCCTTACACAGAAAGAATTGACATCTTAAAAATGCCGGTTTGGTATCAACCTCCAAAGCTTCAACAGTTTGACAGAAAAGGCAATCCCAAGCAACATATTGCACACTTTGTAGTGACTTGCGGTAATGCTGGTACCGACGGAGATCTCCTTGTCAAGCAATTTGTTCGTTCCCTCAAAGAAAATACATTTGATTGGTACACAGACCTCAAAGTTGGAGGTATTGACAGTTGGGAACAGATGGAACGAGAATTTCTCAACCGTTTCTACAGCACTCGTCGTACTGTAAATATGCTGGAGCTTACAAACACAAAACAGATGAAGGGTGAACCCGTGGTTAACTACATCAACCGTTGGCGAGCACTAAGTCTTGACTGCAAGGATCGTTTATCTGAAATTTCTGCAGTTGAAGCATGTATGCAAAGCATGCGCTGGGAGTTTCTTTACATCTTACAAGGGATTAAGCCTCGCACATTTGAAGAGCTTGTTACTCGAACCCACGACATGGAGCTTAGCATGGAAAATTATGGTGCTAGGAAAGATGTTCCAGATATACCCGACAACCTTCAAGAAGATGAGGAAAGTGAATCAGAAGAAGAAGACAAAATACTTCTTGTAATACCCCGATAATTTTAAAAGATTTATTAATTAGGATTAATTATTTTATTTTATTTTTCAATGATTTATTTTATTTTATTGAGTGCTAGATTAATTATCTTATTTTAATTAAGTTATATTTCGTGATTATGTATGATGATTGATTGTTTGTGTGGTTGATTATTGATTGAATTATTGGTGTGTTGATTTTATTGGTATTATATGACTTAGTTGTAAATTCTTGTTTGTTTATGTGCTTCATGTAATTAGTTATTTTAATTTCTGTATTTAATTAATTATCTTATTTATTTAAATTAATTGGATTGGGCTTAAGGAAAGTTGGACCAAAAGATGTGGTCTTGGGCTTGTATGAAACCTTATTGGGTTAATTAATGAAGGTCCGTGGTTATTTAATTATTTAAATGATCACTTTTGTATCAATTATATTTATATATATATATATATATATATATATAATTATATATAAATATAATTCATTAATAATTGTTATGGAAAGATATATATATAGATATATATTTATTGATATTTATAAGTATATATGATTTAATTAACTAACGAGTTAATTATGGAAGGAATATATATTTATATATATATATGTTTATAGATATAAATTATTTAAAGATTATTATTTTAATTCATAATACTAGTTGGAATAGGATTTGGAATTTAAGGTGTATAAAAATACACATAAGGCTTTAGGGTTAAAGGTTTTTACACATTAGAAAAATAAAACAGACAGAGAGAGAGGAAAAAGAAGGGCTGACAAGGAGGAGGTCGGATCTGAAAAGGAGGACGTCGGAATTGGAAGAGATAATTAAAGCTTAAAGCGTCGGTTTCGTTTCGAAACCTTCAGGCGAGTTTTCTCTAACTTTCCTCTTAGAACTCATAAGGATTTCACCTTGAGTATCAAGGCTTTAATTAAATTTATTTGTTTAAAAATTATGGTTAGATCGGAATAATTAAAAAGTATAAACTATTATATTTGATTTTTAGATTATTGGATTTTAATTGATATATATAGGTGTTATGTATATTTTAAAATCAATCTATAGGTGGATTTGTGACCCAAGAGAGTTAATTATGGTTTCTTTATTTTCTAGAATTGTTCTGTAATTTTCTGGAATTTTTCTGATATTTTTAGGAATTTATTAGGATTTATTTTCTTATTATTTGTTAGGAAAATAATTATATATATATATATATATATATATATATATATACACTAGGTAACTGGCGCATGTGGAGCGGCGGCACAATAAAGAATTGATCCAGTGCGGCGCGGTGTAGGATAATAGGGTGTATACGCCAATTAGGGCCATTTGATTAATTAAACTTATGTGAATTGATATGGTGCATCGCGGCGCATAAAACTTTGGTGCGCATGTGTATCTGGACCATAGAAGTGGTCTGGTCAACTATGGGATTATTTGGTGTATTGCAGACCATGAGAAGATGGTGCACTCGATGATCTGGACCTTAGATCTATTATAGTTAATAAAAAATAATCTAGTGTGAGCGTGTTCATTTGCGCACTCATTTATAACCATTGGATGCGGCATAAAGGAAGTGATGGATTCAGTGTGGTGAGCTCACGGTAGCTGAAAGAGCTTAGCCAATACCAGCACACAAGGAGGCTTGAATCCAGCGCGTGCAAGTGCATAGTAAGCACGTGGGCGCGCGTGGGTAACTATGTTGGCCTAATTCGACACTAGAAATTAAAACGGTCATAACTTAGTCATTTTAAATCGAAATTGGGTCATTCTTGAGCTCAAATTCAAGGATTTTTCGTCTTCTTTCTAATGGTACCAATTTCATTATCAGATTCCCATCCTACTAGGAGATATTTATGTTTTAGTGAGAAAGTGTCGGAAAACTATTTAAACCAATATGGAGTATTTAAAGGAAACTATTTCTGACATATTTAGTTGCACTAATTTGTGTAAATATAATAAATTAATAATTTGTTATGGAAGGAAGTGTATATATATATATATATATATATAATTATTTATATATGTGTATATATAGTTTAATTTGTCTATGAGTTGTATGGAAGGATGAATATATATATATATATATGTATGTATGTATGTATGTATATTGATTTTAAATAATCAAGGATTATTAAAGGTGTTAAACACACATATACATTAAATAACATATGTGTAGGTATATATATATATAAATCATTTAAGATGATTAATATTATCATTCTTATTTGGCATATCTTAATAGGCTGGTTGTTAAATTAATGATATGCGTATAATATGCATGTGATGGCTATGTATGATTTAGCATATTGTTAATTTTAAAGTTAATTCATGGTTAAAGTGTGGGCATGGATGAATTGTCAAATGATTAAATATATTACCTAAATATTTGTATGAATAGAATACATATATGGAAAGTATGGATGAATTGCTAATTAAATGTATGAATAAATATACCTGTGGAGGCATGGTTGAATTGCCAATGTATAAATATACATACATGGAGGCATGGTTGAATTGCCAATGTATAAATAAATATACTTATGGAGGCATGGTTGAATTGCCAATAGATAAATAAAAATATTTACAATGGCATGGTTGATTTGCCAAAGCATAATTACGTTGTTATGTGTTAGATGATTAAAATATTATTTATGGTTGTTGTATGTATGGATTGGATTAGGGTAGATATTCTTAAATGAGAATAGTTTAGTACTTACTGGTTAGTGTATTATTTTACATTAATAAAATAATATTGGGGAAGACGTGGATGATTTGTCAAAACTTGGATTTTGGATATGTGATTTAAACAATTAAAATCATTATCGGGTTGGGATTAAATAGAGTATTTCTTTTATTATAATTTGTTGTTTAAATGATTAAACAACTGACTAGGATGGGATTAAGGTCAAAGGAGTTTTTATAAAATGAAATGGTAGATTGGTCTAGGTATGAATATTATTTTAATAATTATTTAATAGGTATGGAAATTTAATAAACCTATTAATGGATGTGATTAGTATAGTATATAAAATTATATATAGACATGTATATCGTGCTTTATTAAAGTTAAAACTTTATTAGGTTTGGTTTTGATCAGAGATGATCTGCTTATTGGTTTTCAGAGGCCTGGTAGAGTGAACTTGCTCGTAGGGTTTAACCCACGATTTATTTTTCAGGTTATTAGAGGTTCCAGTCTCGAGGTTGAGGATCCGCAGCTGGGAGACTGTCATTCGTCTATTCATCTTGTGTACTTTTAAATAGTATTGGATTATTGGATAATGTTTAAGGGGTCCTTGAGTTATGGGATTTTCGAATTGTAATTGTTGGAGAATCATTAAGTAATATTTATTTATTAGTTTTCTTCAGCGGTTTATTTATTCTTTATTATTCATTTTTGTATTCTGTGCTTGTTAAATACTTAAATTGTTTTGATATCCCTTGATTTTGTGCGCGGACTTGATCAATCCGTGTTCCAAAATTAGGGGGTATCACACTTCTTAACTCAGACGACGAAATAGCTTCATCTTTCATTATAAGCATCATCTCGAAAGACTTGCATCAAGAAACAATGACTTCAACCAAAAATGCAAAATCACAGGGGGCATTAAGTCAAGGAAACCAAGAAGAAAATCCTCAAAGTGACGACGAGATAGTCCATACCCTTCAGCATAGGTTTGGATTGCCGTCTGATTCTTACAAAGTTGGAGAATAATAAAAATTGATGATGCTCCCAGATACGAGCCTAAACTGTCGACGATGCTCCCAAATATGAGTCTAAACTATCGATGATACTCCCCGACACGAGAATAAACTGTCAACTTGAAAAAAATGACACTCGTTGACATGAGTTTAAACTGTCTACCTAAAAAAAAAAAAAAAAAAAATTAAGAACTCCTTGATACGAGTTTAAACTGTCTCCTAAAAAAAAAAAAAAAAAAAAAAAATGACACTCCTTGACACGAGTTTAAACTGTCTACCTAAAAAAAAAAATCAAGAACTCCTTGATACGAGTTTAAACTGTCTCTCAAAAAACAAAAAAGATGACACTCCTTGACACGAGTTTAAACTATTTACTTGGGAAAAAAAATATCAAGAACTCCTTGATACGAGGTTAAACTGTCTCCCAAAAAAAAAAAAAAAATGACACTCCTTGACACGAGTTTAAACTGTCTACCTGAAAAAAAATATCAAGAACTCCTTGATACAAGGTTAAATTGTCTCCCAAAAAAAAAAAAAAAAAAAAAAAAAATTGATACTCCTTGACACGAGTTTAAACTGTCTACCTAAAAGAAAAAAATATCAAGAACTCCTTGATACGAGGTTAAACTGTCTCCAAAACAAAAACACAACACTCCTTGGTACGAGTATAAATTGTCCGCCTGAAAAAGCAAAAAAAAATCAAAAACTCTTTGACATGAGTATAAACTGTCTACCAAAAAAAAAAAAATTGTGAACTACATGATGACTTGATCCCTGTTTAGGGTATGTAGGCATCTTGGAAGTTTGTTCCAAGTTCAGTCAACCTAAAAAAAAGGGGCAAAATGTGTTCATCGCGTGATATCAAAAGTGATTCGTCACACCTTGTCAACTTGGCATGCCACTAAAGTGTAGTTGCAAAAAAAATTTTGGTCTATCGTCGGAGTTGTAGCTATAAAAGAAATTTTGATTTGGCAAAGTGTAGTTGCGAAGAAATAAATTGGTTCGTCGTCTGACTATAGCTGCCTAGAAAAATTGTTCTCACCGCCGAGGTATTGCTGAGAGAGAAATTTTGCTTGCTGCCAAGGCGTCGCTGAAGAATTTGGTTCGTCACCAAGGTGTTGTTGTAAAACTCACCACTAAAGTGTTGTTGAAGGAAAAAAAAAAAAAAAAATTCTGCTTGCCGCCGAGGTGTTGCTGAGAGAAAATTTTGGCTTTCCGTCAAGGTATTGCTAAAAAAATATTTGCTCGCTGTCAAGGTGTTGCTGAAAGAGAAATTTGGCTTTCAGTTGAGGTGTCATTGAAGAA